TTTATCAAGCTTAGAAAGTATGCTGTATTTGGGTCTAAAAAAATATGAAATTTCGAGCAGACTAAAGACTCAACTAACCATCTTGGATCGAAAGAATGAGTTGATGTCATAATAGTTTAAAATGGCTGAGAAAGCCACTAGGGGGACATTATGAACTTTCAATTGGTTATTCACATGTCAGAGACAGAAGTACTTGTACATAACGGAGTGTTTCCAAAAATGGAAAGAGGTTGGTGGACCACTGTGTGTGTTTCAGTACATGAGGGATATCTCAGCAAATAGAAAAGATAGGAGGTTCTTATTCTATATTCTGGCTTGTCAGTATTGGTAGTTTGAGTTCCTAATTCATAAGGAACTATAGACTTTGTATTTGGACATCACAAACATCTAATTTGAACCAATGCTGCATTAAACATACCATGTGTCACACAAAAATTGATATTTAGGATTTCTTTTTTAGTATTTACTTTTACATTAAGAAATTAACTAAAGGATCATACTAAACTTTGAATTATAATTTACAATTTGATACCAAACTTATTGACATACATTCATAAAATAGTAGTTCAAAAAATTTTTAATGCGAGTCTACAAATGCGATGACATGGCCTTTGACCCGTGACCATAGGAAGACCCGTAGTGATAGGGTTAAATTGTAATAAAACACTTTTTACCATTTGCCAAAAAATGTGATGATTATTGCATTGTGTTTTAGAATCATAGACAAACAAACTTTATTAAAAACATATCTAGTTAAAAATAACAATAAGTAGAAATGTTACTAATTTGTCTTGAACATCCTCAAGAAAAATTGTTGTTATTTCATGTTTTTTATTTGTGGCTGGGCAGGTATTCAAGTCTTAATTTCTGCAGCTGTCCAATTACAGGTTAGGTTAAGAAAATGTAGCAGAGAGGGAGGAAACAATGTACTATGTGATCTGTCTTTGTCTGATGAGTCTCCAAGTATAATTTAAAAGAGCCATGTATAATGACAAACCATACAAATCAAATTCACATTTAAGTACAGGGAAACTGGGACAATTTAATACTTTTACTGTTTCTGATCAGAACAGGAAAATAAGGCATAAAACTGAAATGATTCCAGTTTTACTGGGATGGCTGGTAATCCTACACCCAAGCCATCATGGCAACACTATAAACCCTTTTCAGTGACATCATTTTCTGATCCTTATTTTTGTATTCAATGACATTGGAATATGTCTTTACAAAAGTGAATGTGTAAGCTATGTTGATAAATAATATTTGATTGTGTAGCATATTGTAAATTTTGTATATATAGCTTGCTGATTAATGGAATTGGATAATTAATCATTGTGCTTATTAGCAGATTACATTCAACTAATTGATTACTCACATGAAAGTTGGGTAGCTTGAATGATTTAAAATAGTAACAATTGGAAACATTACTTTTCATTAGTTTGTTGTTTTTGTGAGTCGTGACACTAATTGATTAATATGAACCACCTTGAATTATCCAAACGTAATGAGAAGCTCTAATGCCAGTATTTTGAATACTTGGATAGCTTGAATAATTGTAAAAAGTAATAATCAAGAACACTTATTCTGATAAGTTGATTATTTTTGTGATATTAAGTCATTTAATCAGTTATTTTATATGACATTAATCAATGTAATCAGTGCTCATAAGAAATTGATTGAGTTGATTGCTCAGACCTAATGGATCTGTTTTTTTTGTTTTGTTTTTTTCTGGAATGTAGGAAAACTAAATTCCTAAATTGTGTAAACTGTACATGAAATAATAAGATTGAAAAAATCTGAAAATCAATATTAAGGCTAATTATATATTTTGCACAATTAGATCCAGATTTGTTCTGTAGCAGAATTATTTTAGTGTTATAAATATGAGTTTGTATAGAGATTTATCTAATATTGTAGACTGTGCTTCCACTTTTCTAAGGTGTTTAAATTTTTGTTGGATAGATATATGGATGAGAAAGTCTAAAATATGAATTTAAGTTAGTTCTTTTGATTGGATGATTTTCATAGAATGGTAAATTGTTTCTGAAGGATTGTATATTGACCTCTTTTGGTGTGTTCAAGAGAGTGGCATGCATGCTTTCTGCTTGTACACAACACTCAAAATGTGAGGGCATAACCTAGTGGTTGTTGGTTACATGACTAGCCACAATGATGCCATTTGTCCACATTTACCTTGTATGTTTAAATATTAATGAACTTTAACTTAATATATTGCTTATTTATTACAAGCTACAAAATGTAATGAGTGATGAATAGGGAAGTTATATGAAAAAAGTTACAGCAAGTTATATTCACTCAAAGAATGTTGATTACTTAATAACTAGCTCATTTGTCTGTATTTGTCAGAAATTACTAGACCTGGACTAATAACCTCTGAAAATATCATTAACAGTAAGGGTGCCAACTGATGAAACAGTGCACTCTAATCTTTATAAGAAGGAATGTAAGAAAAGTATATTTAATTGTAAAAATAGTATTTGTCAGAAATTACTAGACCTGGACTAATAACCTCTGAAAATATCATTAACAGTAAGGGTGCCAACTGATGAAACAGTGCACTCTAATCTTTATAAGAAGGAATGTAAGAAAAGTATATTTAATTGTAAAAATAGTATTTTGGATCTATCTTTTTGTCTCCCACAAGATATTGCCAAAGAAGCAGTTGTATTGGATGGAAAAACAAAAGATTGTAAAATTCCATTTATATGTACATTTAACTTGATTTTTATAAAAAAAAAAAATATTTAGGTTTTAGTGGTTTTAAGTAGTTTGCTGGCTTTTTGCCTTTAAGCCACAGATTTTAATATTTTTTATTCCTCTTTTAACTCTTTTGTTAGAAATTACTAGTTACAGACTAATAACATCTAACAATATATAATACCTTTAAACTGTTAAGCTAATTACATGAACAGGAATCCTGTTTAATTACGGCTAGCTTTAGCTAGATACGAAGCACTGAAAAGGAAAAACAAAAGTCTGGTTATAGTCATGTGCCACGTAAACACTGCCTAGTGTAGTAAGCTCTATGTTGTTTGATTTATTGATTTTTTCAGCATGCATGTATTTTTGCAGTTCCTTTCAGCCTGTACTGTAAAATGTAAGCAGATTAATCATTTTAATGTGTGCTTTCTAAACTACCACTCATATCAACACCTTCTTGCTCAAAGGCTTTTATAATTTTAAAGTTGTTAATTATTTTTAAGTTTTTCACCCTTTTGATAGAATTTGAAAAACATTTCAAAATGTCTGTTAAGATTTTTTCTTATTATTTTGATTTTTATATTATGTATAATACTTCAATTTCCACCTTAATAATAATTTTTAATCCATACAAAGAGATCATCTGATATCACAGGTTTTCTTGCCAAATAATAGGATCCACATGAATTCATTTTCACTGATTATATATTATCCATCACATGCAGTAACTTTAATCTTTACTTGTTTTATCCCATGAAATGTAAGGACAATTATTCTTAACAGAGAATATTTTTATTTAGTTTTAGTAGAGTAGTCTTGTCAAAATTTCTAGGAAGAAACCTGTGGAATGTTATTAATTGTATTTTGAACTTGTTATAGGTTTTGTACTACATTGTTTATTCGTGTTGAATGGTTAGGGTTAAAAAAGTAATTTAGTCATAGATTGTTGTACCCAAAAATGTCTGTCATGCTAAATGAAGGATAATTTGAAAATGTCATTAAAAAAAGCTAAAACAAACTGAAAATTTGGAGGTTAGTCTTGTGAGAATAATTGATTAGTGGAATGTAATCGATTAATGAGCCTGATGATTAATTGATTAGCAAGCTCCATTAATTCTTCAGCTCTACCTGTAATCAACACTTAAACATAAGTCTAGATGGACCAAATAGCCCCTTGTTATACCTTGGAAATGATGTAAGATTGATTTATGAAGTGGGGAATCCTAGTGAGTTGTAAAATTTAAATCAGTTGTAGTTAGACTGTTATTAAGTACAGAATGTCAGTGGATATAATTAGAAGGTTTGCAAGTGAAAATTATTATTTAAAAAAATTTACATTGGAAAGAGAGATATGAATTAAAGATGTGTAGGTGATTCGTAATAGAAGGTTTTAGGATGTGTATGTGCAATGTCTGACAAACTTTTTTATGGGTAGCAGCAGTTTATTCATCTTGTTTACAGGGGTCTAGGTAAAGGATAGAAAGCTTTGATTGTGAATGCTCTTTGTTATTTTCCATGTTTTTGTGTTGCAGTCTTAATTATAATAATAATTCAGTTTGCTTGATACTCAAACATCAAGGATGTTACATTTATTTATATACACAAGTTGTTTAATTTCCCATTTATTTGTAAAATCAAATATCAAAGTAGTGTATGTTTCTTTTTCCTCTGATTTAATTATGTTTTCTACATTGTATTTCTTAAAACCTTACTACTTGTAATCCATTATAACCATCATAAAACTTACATGTATATAATTTAACATTGTGACCAGAGTAAACATTATGGAAATGTTCATTTTCCAGGCAGAATTTCCAAAGAAACAAAAAACACAAGTTTTATGGGTTTCATTATATTAAGGACAATAAAATGTCTTAAGTATGGCTGTTTGAGTTGTTATGGAAGGTTCAGTGTCTGAGAGGAATATGAGAGGAATTGAAATAAAAAAGTGATTGTAGCAAAAGAGCTACATTAATTGTTCTGGCTTCCTAGTCACAAAGAAAAATCTTATTGTGATAAGATTTATTTATACAAAACTTTTTGAATTTAAATATGCTATTCATGTTTTGTATGACAATATTGTTATTTTTATTAGGACCAGTTTAAAGTTTTGTGATTTTATTATTGTAGGAAACTTATATATGTCTAAAGTTTAAAATATAGATTGTACATGTTTTCATTTAAAAGATGAATTACAGAAAAGTTAAATGTGTGTTTTTAAAAATATTAGAAATGTGTACATATACATATTCATAAACAAAATTACTTCTGTCAGGATAAAATTTGAAAAGGTTTAATGAAACTGCATTTAAAAATAAGCATAAAAGATTAACAGAATTGAAATATTTTTACCATTTTTATGTATATTTTGCTAAAATAAAGATACAGGATTTTAGGAATTAAACTTTAAGTCCATAAAACTTTTATTGTAGTCAAATACACCATTTTACTGTTATAGCAGTAATGTGTAATTAATACTTAAGTAAGAAAAACTGTTTTTGTGGTGAGATTGTGAATTTTAGAATTATATTTCTAACATAAAGTACCTAATAAATGTAGGATGTTCAAAAGTGTAAAATTCTATGCAATATAATCTTATACAAATTGGTGACAACTCCTTAGGTATTGTGTGAAATATCTTCCAGATATCGACAGATGGGTTTTACTCGTGGTTTCAGCTTGGGAGAAGAGGCAGGATGGAGGGAAGGCTATACATTAGGGCTTCAGAAGGGTGCTCAACTGGCATCAGAAGTGAGTGCATGAAATATATTACATTCATAATAATGATAATTTAATAGTAACTTATATGCTGTGTATCCTGCCTATGTTTTAATAGTCACTAGATGATATAAAAGTTGTTCTAAACAAATAAGAAAACTTAAATTACTTGTTTCACTTTGCCAAAAATCTCTTTAAACACTGTTATGCTGAGACAGGTTTTTGAATTGTAGCGTTGCTTTCTTTGTACAGTGTATGTTGATCTTTGTATTGAAGGTGAAAATATTCAAACAGAAATGAATTTTTGAAATGTGTGTAAAAAGAATAAAAAGAAGAAGGAATAATAGTTATTTGAATATTTTCAGCGCAGTACAAGCCAGAGTGGATGTAATTAATAATCATGCCATTAGTCAAACTAGACATTATCAGCTGGCCACAGATCTAGATAGTGTTAGTGCTTTGTGAAAATTAATTTAAATTCATATCATCTCTTGCCTCTGGATTTAAACCATAAGCTATATTTCATCTTTCCAATGAAAGGTTGCAATTTTGAAAATATTTAATCTCTCCTGCCTTAACATGATGTTATTTACATATGCATTTACATCATTTTTTGTAATACCTTTCATATCTTCCACTTATACTTAACCCTTTCGAGATGGGCCATGTCATCTTGGTTGTTGATTCGCATTCAAAATTTCATTGAACTACTATTTCATGAATTTATATCAATAAGTTTGGTAACAAACTATAGATTATAATAACTTGTACTTTCAGGTAATTTGTCTCTTGAATATTATTATTTAATGACAAAAAATGTTATTTGCTCTAAGCATAATGTAAACTGTTATTCTACATTTTAAAAATTACTGCTGCACATTGACATATTTTATTCAATCATTGATCTTGTATTGTTGAAGGAGAGAGAAAGACAATATTTGTTTGGGTTTGCTCGGGTTTGAGAAAAGTGGTTTTGAAACACACTGTAGATGACCAAACTTTCCTGAATAATACCTATTATTCCTAGTGTGCCTTTGGTGAAGTTTAACTTCTATAGTAGTTTTTAAGATATTATCATTATAAGTATAGGTTTTTTCTTTATAATCACCTGCATATCCAATAGAGCAAGACTAGATTAATAGCTAAGAAATAAATTGTATTATAAGCAATATTTAGTGTTAAAGTGAATTAAGTGGCCTTTCAGTTGTTTAATATCTAATGGTTACATAAGTGAATGACAGCTCACCTGGGCGATGGTTGGCCTGTAGTAGAGCTATGGACTTTGGAGCTGGTAAATCAGTTTTGAATCCATGTAATACTGGAAAATATTTTCCATGTTTTAAGCTGACGATCAATCTCTTTGCATTGGTGGTAGGGTACTACTGACTAGGCATCTTCTCTCTGCTTAGAAGTTTAAAATTAGGTGTCAGGGTTTGAAATGTGTATGTGCTAAGGATTATTCTACAGTAGGTGTATGATTTGTTGGTGATAAATTCAAACAATAAATGGGCAGCACACAATCCACTTGTTTTAAAATAATATATTCAAAACAAGTCAAGTGTATGTACAAAAATTCTTTATACTATGGAATATCACAGTTGTATCTAAAACTAAATAATTCTCTTTTCTTATCTAAAGTTCACTTAGGCTGATTCATTTACTTTAGAATCCAACTGACGAGACAAACAATTTTTCTCTACTCTTATCACAATAATATTAGTGAATAATTCACTTACTCTACCCTTTGGGTTACCACAGTTGTATCCTGAACTTCAAATTATTGTCTCCTTTTTTGTCAAAGTCCACACAGACGGGATCAGTTACTTTGACAAGACAAATTATTCTCCTTATCTCTAACAAACTTTGAAACTCACTTTAAAATATCGCCCATTACGGCTAATCACTCACATACCAGCTAACTTCACATTTTTTTTTGCTAACTAATTTTATGATTGAACTGCATTTTACTGAACTTTACTTTCTTACTTCACTTGACTTGCACTTGCTTGGGTGCCTATATTTCTATGTTGCCCAACTGAGGCCTTGAATTTTTTCCAAGCTATGACAGCAGTACTATAAGGTAATAATACTCACTTAAGGTAACAAGAAAAATACAGAAGATTCAAGTAACTTGGTGTCAACAATACTACAATAATTGAACCAGATACACAACGTATGACTCTCATTATAAAAAAACTAAACAATCATTAAATATTAATTCACAAAATAAATTAAATAATAATGCCTACACTAAACAGTCTTGTATATCTAACATTAGAGATGGTGTCAAATTACTTTAGTAGCTTTATTATTAATGCAAAATATAAATAGATAGTTGAGCTTATATTATATGCACTTCAGCACATGTTTTTACAATTTAATTTGTAAGAAATATAGTTGGAATTGGTCTCCTCAAGAGTTTAAATTCTTACAACTGTTAGATTTTATAAAATATTGTAAGCGTAGTTGATTTGTTAAGTTGTTAGTTGAGGTGATAATGACTAATATTTGGAATGCTATAGAGGACTATGTGCAAAATTATTCTAAAAGTGAAAAGATATAATCAAAACGTTTTTAATTTCTTTCAGTAAAAGTGCACACTTTGTATAGTTGGTGTTTATGAAGAATTTGATATATTTGTTCAATTATTATAAATATTACCGTTTGCTTTTCTGTAGTTGGTGAATATGAAGTTATGTAATGTCTTTTTATTTCTAGTTAGGTTTCTACCAGGGTTTTGTTCATGCTTGGATCACTGTTCTGGAGAAGGATGAGACTACTAAGCAGAGGTTTGTTATTGTTTATGTTTAGATATTTCCTTCATTACAAAGAATGATAAGTTTTGATGATACAGAAAGTTGAATCACAAATGTATTTAATTATCACACTTTATCTATTCGTTACATCTCAAACCATGATACACATAAATTATAGATTTTCTTTTGGTTCTTTTTTTTTAAAACAGATTATTTTTGTAGCTACTATCATTCCTGTATTTTCTTTAAATTTGGAGGTAGGTTTAATTTCAGGGAGTAAATTTTATTTATTTCTCCTGTAGTTTGCTTGTAATAATCTATTTCATTAATTATTTAATGTGTTTTAATTATCTTTCTGATTTACTAGAAGTAATTAACTTCTCATAGGTAGGTGTTGATGGTAAAATGAGAATTTTAGTTGTAAGAACTTGCAGTTTTGAGCACCATATCTGCTCCTAATTTTTTAGTTTTAGTATATTATCTGAGATTTTAAAATAAAGTTAAATATGATAGATGATCTATTCCCATTGCTCTATGGGTGCTACTTTTAATTAAGTAGATTTTACTCACATTCTAGTTTGTGCCTAGTGTTGTTTCCCTGTCACTTATGTGTAAAGCATTTTATTTTTTGTTAATCATTTAAAATAAGAATATTCTGTTGAGTTATACTCTCTTTCCATGCAATGTTATAAGATCTGAAGGAAAGATAGCCTTACTATATTGGATATTGTGTTGAGTTAGGTTATCTTTCCATTAGGTATTATAACATTAAAAGGAAAGAGAGAGTCTAACTCAACAGCATGTCTTTATATTATTGAGAATTTCTCACTTAAGTTTGAGCAACTTGTTGTTATAGATCTTTTTTTTATAAGAAATTGAGTGATAATATTTCATTTATACTAATATTTTTTACTTAATTGTATTTACATTGTTAATTTGCATACATAGTTATGGAAATGTGTTAGAGAAGGTCTTTCTTCTACCCAACAGATTGTCATTTGATTTATTACTGTCATGATCTAGTTTTTGGTGGAAGTTCTTATTACTTTTTTATATACATAATATCTTAGAAAGCTAGTTGCTCTGAGATCACTCTTGGAGATGACAAAAAGTTTTCCTAAGACAAATGTACCAGACCAAGACTTTGTGGAAAGAATCCAGAAAATCAGAGCAAAGTTCAAGCAGGTATGATTGATTTTTTTTGTGTGTGTGTGAAAAAAATGTTAATTTCAGGATCAGTGTTTCACATTGTTAATGGTTTGATTTACTATCATAAATGTACTAGTATATGTGTGTTTGTGATTACCAAAGGTTCATAAAATAGGAGATGCTTATAGACCCATAGTGTCAAATATAAACTCATCTTCTTACAATGTAGCTAAATTTATAGCACAAAATGTTTCTTTTCTAAGTAACAAACAAGTACACAGTTAAAATTCGGTAGAATTTGTTGAAAAGTAAGGGAGATAACTCTAAACGATAATGATATGTTTGTTTCTTTTGATGTTGTATCATTATTTACTAAAGTACCTACTGACAAAGCTATTCACTGTTTCAAAAACAAATTAAGAATGAATAATGTCTCAGTTATTGAAACTTTAGATGTAATAAAATTAACAAAAACTTGTGTGGAAAATTCACTTTTTTCAATTTAACAGTAAGATTTACAAACAGATTGATGGTCTAGCCATGGGTTCCCAGTTATCTCCACTATTAGTTGATCTGTTCATGGATAAATTTGAAAATCTTGCTTTACAGAATGCTAAACTTAAGCCCAAAATATGGATTAGGTATGTTGATGACACTTTTGTAGTATGGCAGCATGGTAAAGAAGACTTGATAGAATTTGCTACTTAACTGAACAGTTTAGAACCCACTATTAAGTTTACTTATGAGATTGAAGAAAACTATAGTTTGCCATTTCTTGATTTATTGGTAAAGAAAAGGGAAAATAATTAAGAAACTACTACTTACCAAAAATTTTTCTCTGTTATCATGCTGCCACACAAAGAATTATGTCATACAAATTCACAAAAATGTTGGCTTTTTATTCTTATGTGTACAGGTCTTTAAAGTTATGCTCTAAACAAGATTTAAAAAATGAATTATTATTAATTAAGTATGTAGCATTAGATAGAGGTTTCTCACAAAGTATTGTAGATAGAGCTGTGAAGAAATTCAGTAGAATTAAGAATAATGATCAAAAAAGAAAATTAATATCAACATTTGATAGAATCAGTAAAACTGAAATGTTATGTTTGCCATATGTTCCTGGTTTATCTTGCCAAATCTTTCAGAAATTTAAAAAGCAAATGTAAAAACTTTATTCTGATTTACAAACCTTTGAATAAAATTAACCAAATGCTAAGTAAAACTAAGGATAGTAATTACTCTAATGGAAAAACAAATATTTATAAAATTGAATGTAAATGTGGAAGTGTATACATTGGTCAGACTAAAAGAAATTTAAAATTTAGAATAAACAATCATAAGAGAATGTTAAAAATCAAAGTGAAATTTGTGCATTAGCTGAACATGTAGGTCATACTGATCATATCATTCGGTGGGAAAAAACTGTTATCTTGGCTCAACTGAATGATATGACTACTAGAAATATCAGAGAATATATTGAAATAATGAAACACAATAACAATGGCCAAACTTTGAATAAGGATGACAGGTTAGCAGGTCAAAAAATACACAGATGGTGTGACCTTCTTTAGGGTTTACCTTATGGTTATGTAGTAGTATGAGTCACATGATTAATAACCTTGGTATAAATAGTTTTGTAACATTTGTTTTTTAGACTTAGCCTCCTGAGGATTATGTGATACACATTGAAACATGTAGAGTGGTTGTTTTGAGACCGTTAAACAGTCTCAGAATAAATATTTTAATTGTGTAAGTTAAAAATGTTGATTGTTTGAAATTTTGTTTATTATTTTTACACAAGTTCCTTGAATTTTAACCTTTTAACCCATTACCTGCCATGGCCATTTTGATTTTATCGTGAGGCCAAAATCACATTTGTGAATTGAAAAAATTGTAGAGAACTTATCTTTTATTGGATTTCATTCAATTATTTGTACAAAATTGTATTATTGAAGTTTAAATAGGAATTTAATGAAAAAATTCTAAAATACATTTTAGACTGTAAATAAGGACCCCCTTAAGAAGAAAATGTTTTGTCAAACTTTTTAAAAAATTTTTTCCTTCCACTTCAGCACTGGTCCTGCCATCTATGATTGGTATATAAACCTTTTTCTAGCCTGTTTTCTTTATAAAACAGTGTCTGAGTGTGTTAAACTTCAGTTGTAAAACTTTTTTTAAGCCAATCCTAGCCAAAGGTGTCAATTTCAGTACCATGTTATTCCAATCGCTGTATTTCACGTTTGACAAATCATAGGATGATAAGGAACGCACGTGATGAAACGTTGTTCTCCAGATTTTACAATATGAATGTGGGTGGTGCTTATTTTAGTAACTGCCATTTTATGTAGAGGTTGTATTTAGTATTGGCCAATAGTGCTTTTCTATAAGTGTTAGAAAACTTGCTTCTGGAAAAAACTGCATGGGATGTACGTGACTTTTATTATTTTTATATAGTAGCTTAAGTCATGCTGCATCGTATATCTATTTATATTAATCATTATATTGAAAAATTATCTCAAAATAGATATATTTTTTAGGAAAGAAGTTGATCCACGATTGTTAGGGTTAAGAGCTATTGTGTGGCGAATGCAAAGTCTTTACATGAATTAGGCTTAGCACTTTGAACTGAAAGAGTTTGTGATTTTCTTATATTCTTTTGCATTTAAATTTGTAGTTTAATAATTTAGCATAATTTTATATTTAGTTCATATTAATAATAATAATAATATGATTCACTATTTAGAATGATAAACTTGTATGATTTGTACCTAATACTACTAGTACC